TTAACAGTGTAGCAAAAGTCAGAGGCCTCAAACCAGACCAATGACTCACTGCAATGAACGTTTGTGAGAAAAGCTATTTGGGCAAAAGGGTATACTCTGTGACACACTGCAGCAAGATTGGTTTTTTGTTTGTTTGTTTATTTTCTTTTTGGGAGAAGTTGCAGTAGTAGAGGGAGGATATGGAGGGATGGAGAGATGAGTGGGATTGGAGTGCATGATGTGAAATTCACAAAGATTCAATAAAAAGTTTTTAAAAAGTTATGCTAAGTGAAGGCCACCACCACCAGTCTACCACCCCATCCTAGCCCTACCACCAAGTCCATATATGGAGGCCTTGTTGGAATAGTTTAGCTTTGACAAAGAAAATTTGTTGCTAGGGGTGGGCTTTTAAGTTTCAAAAGCCCATGAGTGGTCGTGTGTGTGTGTGTGTGTGTGTGTGTGTGTGTGTGTGTGTGTACGCGTGCACGCATGCGTGCATGTGTGGGGTCTCCTTTCACAAAACGGCAGCTATTACTAAGGAAGTTGTGAGGAAACACCTGTATGAGCTTTGCATTAGGATTTCAGCACAACTTGACAGTCACATAGAGTTTATTGCACTATGTATCATTTTATGTGTTGCTATCATAATACTTGACAAAACCAACTTAAGGGAGGGAGGGTTTATTCTGGCTCACAGTTTGAGAGTCCAGGGCATCATGGCAGGGAATGCATGAGGGCAGGTGTGTGAGACATCCGGTCATCACAACTGCAGGCAGGAAGCAGAGAGAGACGGATGCTGCTGCTCAGCTCATTCTCCACAGCTCATGAGATGATGCAGCCACATTCAGGGTGGGACTTACAGGCAGTTAAACCTTCCTGGAAATGCTCTCAGAGACATACCCAGATGAGTGTTTCCATGGTGATTCTAATTCTAAACCCCAAGCTGGCAATCAATGTTAACCATTACACACAAGATAACACTATACAAAATTACTCCCTACGGCTCCATGATTATAAAATCTACTGTGAGATACACACCTTGGACTCATACTGCTCTGGGTACTTTCACAAGTATGTTACAAATTAAGAGTGCCCCCACTAATCATCTGAGCACAGTTCTCTGAATGCCAGCTCCTCTCAGAGCATATTTCTCTGACCACTTGCTTCCCAGACTGTCATTACAGTCAAAAGCTTCACTCGGGTGTCAGGGGCCTGCTGCTCTGACAAGCTTGGGGAGCAGCTGCAGCCCCCCTGTCACCTGTCTGACATAAGTTTCATCAGTGAGACTGTCAACTTCAGAATCATCAACTCAGGCTTCTCTCAAAGCCCAAGCAGGAGCTGTTTTCAAGCCACTCATATTTGAGGGGGTTTCACTAGTTTTTAGTGCTGGGGACTGAAGCTGGGATCCTGCCTAGGCCAAGTGCTCCATCCCTCAGGCTGAGTCACTCAGCTCTGCTCTTACAATAAAAGCAGCTCCAGGAGTACATCACCACACAAACATGTCACCCTGGTCATTCCTGGTGACTTCACAACTGCCGAGGACAGGCTGAGATCTGGAGAGAAATCACTGCAATCCCTTCAGGATGTCTTAGATTTGGTCCACTTAGCAGGAGGCTGGAATACACCGGGAACTGGGCTGAGGCCATAAGGGTGTCGGAGAACAATGCTCCAGACAGCATCACAGGACCTCTTGCTCCCCACCTCACATCCCCCTTTTCCATCACCCACCAACTCCTACTGCAGAGAAGAGCAGAGACTTAGCTCACGAATGCCTGGAAGGCATACTTGCCCTGGCCCTGCCTCCTCTGCCTGCCCATCTGTGCAGGGAAGTTAGTGACTGGAAGTGTTCATTTTTAAGTTCTATTTTTATTTGGGGTGTTTAGGCTTCAACCTCCCAACCCTATGTGAGAGAAGGTTAGTGGGAAGAGAGGGCCCTTTTACTTCTCCCGGTTGTTTAGGGTCAATGGGTGCTTTTAGGGCTCTATCTAATCTACACCAACAGCAGTCACAGGCAGAAGTCTCCCTCAATCCACAGCAACCCAAAACATTTCTCTCCATCTGTCTGCTCCAAATCGCCACACCACCTGTCTCTCTGGTCTCTCCAAACTGCTACACAACACACACCAACACCGCCCACCACACCTTCTCTTTCTGGGCTCTCAATTTATATACTCTGAGCCCTAGACCACGTCCCTCTCCGTGCCACTACCAGCTGGCAAAAGCCATGCCCCACACAAGAAAATTAACATAGACTCTCATGCTTAGCTAAGATTTAGCCCTTCTATCAGGTTTCCTTGCAGTATCAGATTCAACAGGGTATACTAGAATAGTCTGACAAGAAGCTGGTTTACACACACTTGGGCTGGTTTCTCAGTTAAATAGTCTGGAGGGAGGCATTTCTGGCTGGCAGGAGAGCCCCACGCAGCCATGAGGTTCTTTCTAAATCACTATCTCATGCTCCCCAGGGCCCTTCTCTTCATGGTCCAGGATGGCTGCTGAAGCTTGAACTGGCAAGTCTGTGTTGCTTTGTATTCAGCCCAGTGTTTCCGTGGCTTTGGTTTTGGATCTAGCTTTAAAATGTGGTCCTCCTCTGCTGGCTTCTTCATAAAATGAGCACAGTGATCAGCCCTCAAAAGCACCTACAGGGTCCCCGTTGACACCTCTGGTGGTACTGTTCCCTGCAGTAGTCTTCTGGGGGGAAAGGGGAGCACAAAATGGGAACAGAAACAGATTCACAAAATACGAATTTGTGAGCAATGGGACTCCAAGATCAATAAACCTGCCTGCTGTTATCTGGTTAGATCAGTGGTTCGCAACCTTCCTAGTGCTGCGACCCTTTAATACAGTTTCTCATGTGGTGACCCCCCAACCATAAAATTATTGTCGTTGCTACGTCAGACCTGTCATGCTGCTGTTATGAATCCTAACGTAAATATCTGTGTTTCCTGATGGTCTTAGGTGAGCCCTGTGAAAGGGTCAGTGAGTTAGAACACACCCAACATTTCCACAGGAAAAGGTGACCGTCCCTTCAGGTAATCTGCAGCTGTCTCCAAGCTTTCTGTGATGGCTTACAGCTGTCAGAGATGGGTCCCTCGGAGCAGGAAACACATACTCCAAGACAGGAGCCTGATTGCCAGGCCAACCCCATGGCAGGTGATATGACATGACAAAGCGTAACAGCAGGAAAGTACCAACAGGAAAAAGATGGGCTATGGGCTCCTTGCACTCCTCCAAGGAGCTGATGGCCCTGGAAGGGGGACAGCACTTGGGATGGAGAAAGTACCCCCACACTTGGACTGACATGAGCTTAGGCACATAGGCAGGAAGGCAGGACATGTGTGAGCTCAGCAGGGCTGAGGATGAAGGGAAGAAACAGATCTGGAAATGCTGCTACCCCAGCAGGGAGCTATAATGCTGGTCTTCAAGGTGACGCGGTGAAATCAAGGCCTGCCTAGACTGGCCCTATGGCCTTCTCCCTGAAACAGCAAAGTTTCTCCAATGTTAAGATCCTGGGGATCAAACAGGAACAGGCCGAGTTACCTTGAGATTTCAGATAGGTAAAGCAGGATAGGCTCTGGAACAAAACCCCTGGTCAAAGTGGGAAAATGAGGGCCCTCCAGCCAGGTGCTCCTAAGGTGCATCCCACAGGATGAAATTCCAGTCCAGGTGCCTTTTCCTGACCATAGCAGTTTGTCCTGATAGACTTATCTGTCTCAAGCAGAAAACACATCTTTGATGCTATGAGGAGAAGCAGGAATGGAAAGCTTGGGCTTGGAAGGTTCCGGAAGAGAGAAGCAAGTGACACTCTGGGCAGAGAAGACAGCTTATGTAAGGAAATCTTCAATACAGTTAGGAAGCCAGGTGTGGTGACACACAAATAATGGAGCATTCAGGAGTACTGGTACAAGAGTGAGGCCAGCCTGAGCGACACTGTGAGCTCCACAAGTCAGTTTAGATTATAGAGTGATCTTAAAAAAAAAAAAAATCAATGCAGTTAGGACATAAAGTGACCAGCCAGAGTTACCCACATCTGTAATCCAGCACTCAGGAGACAAAGGCAGGAAGACTAAGTTCAAGGCTAGACTGGTCTGGTTTGGATAACAAGACGGGGTAGGGGGGGAGGAGGACATAGCCACATGCCTAGCAAAGCTCACAACAGAGCCTCACCAATCAGGACAAAACTGCCTTGGACCCTGGGAAGCAGCTCCCGATTGTCACCAAGCTAGGCACAGACAGAGAATGCTGCTCTTTGCCTCACTGCCCTTCTACAAACATCCAGTTCCATCCTTTAAGACCACCGATGCCTCTTACCCAGTAATCGATCTCTGGACCCCCTCTGTACAACCAACTGGGCCAAAACAGGACAAGTAAGTTGATGAGGGTAATGACCACACTAGGTCAAGAACCCCAGTCCTGGACACATAGAAGATGGAAGGTGGAGGCTGCCAATAAGGCAGGCTGGCTGGTCGGGTCATAGCTCTATCTCTTAGCGCTTTCTCTTCCTCTTGCGGAGGAACCTGCGGCTTACCTAACTGGCGCACGTCTTAAGGGCAAGGGGGGGTAAAGGACAAAAAGAGGACACGAGATGGTTTCCACCGAGAATCAAAATGACTGCAATACCCTGAATAAGTACTGAGAAATTCCAGCCCAACCCCGATACTTCCAAAGGCCGCCCCAAGACCCTGTCCAAAAGACTTAGCTCAGAATTAGGACGATTGTTGCCTTCATCAAAGAAATATTAGGAGGGTGGACTGTGGAGGCACTTCTTACGAACTCTGCGAAGCTAGCGAAACCAGGAAGCTGCTGAACGAAGCGGGAGAGGGACTAGTTAACCCTACAGATCCATTTCTGCTAGCCTGACTCTAGGACACGCCCCCAGACCAGACCTCCAGCATGCTGGGCATGCCTGTGCAGGACAGGACGCAGGAAATTAGAAATGCTATTGGCACAGGGACCGGACAGCGCTCACTGGAGCTGCCAACGACTGCTCAGAGCGCAGCCACGGGCCACCCACCGCTCACCTTGCACTTGAAGCCGGCGGCGGGCGGCAGGAGCTCCCGCAGCAGGGCCTTGGCCACCTCGCGGCTGGCCTCCTCGCTCACGAAGTGGAGATTGAGCACCTCATGCGCCTCGAACTTGGCGAGGCGCAGCAGCGAGCGCAGCGCCACTCGGGCCTTGGCCTGCAGCGCCGCGTTGTGCTCCGCCTTGGTGAACATCATCAGCAGGTGGTAGTCCACCGGCGCCGCCACGCCGCCCTCCAGGCCCTTGGCCTTGGGGCCCGACGCCGGCGCCGCCGAGCCCCGGGCCAGCTCGAACGCGGGAGGCGTGGGCGCGGCGGCCCCGGCGCGGGCCTCCTTCAGCCTCTTGGTGGCGCTGGAGAAGGTCTCCCGGCCCGAGCCTAGGTAGTAGAAGGCGCACACCGCCAGCGCCGCGGCCAGCAGCAGCGCGCAGTAGTGCGAGCGCACGGCGCCCAGGCGCGCCATGGCCCGAGCGCACGCGGCCCCGCCTCGGAGGAGGCCCATGCACCGGAGCCGGCGGCCCAGCAGCCGGGCCCACTCAGACTAGCATCCCAGGGACCCCAGCCCGGTAGCCGGCGGCCGCCATGGCGGGGGCGGGGCCGCGCCGCCGGGAACCAATCGTGAGCCTGGGTGCCTGAAAGGCGGGGCTACCGCAGGCCCCGCACCGCTAGGTCCTAGGTTCCGAGGGGTTAGACTCCAGATGGCCGGTTTGTATTTTGGCTGCCAGGCTTGAGAGCGGCGGGCTGACGCCAGAGCCTGGGGAAGATTGGCCAGCTACGCTTGGCTCCAAGGGCTAAGCGGGAGGGAAAATGGATCTTAAAATAACAAACGCCCCAGTGTAGGATTTATATATATGTAAATGCTGAACTCAAAAAGGCTAACTTTTCTCTCTTCACGTTTTGTTTTGTTTTGTTTTGTTTTGTTTTGTTTTGTTTTGTTTTGTTTTAAAGCTTCTCCGGCTACAAGGAACTAGCTAGAGCCAAAACATTTAAACCAGAAAGTCCCTTCCTGTTCCATGCAGACGCTTATAACACCCCAAATGAAAGTGGCTTCATCCCACTTCACACCTCTGGGACAACCCAGAAACTGCATGGCCAGCAGAGGGACTTCACGGCCCAAAGCATCTTAGTCCCTGCAGAGAGCCCCTGAGGAGCATCAATATTGCTTAACAGTTTTCAACACTGAACGGGGAGCCTGATGTGTCTCAGAAAGTTTTGAAAATTTTTAACTGGGGCATACTGAAGTGACTTAAGCAAGCACTAGCCTGTGGCCATTTTAATCCTTGCCGGTCAGACAAGGCCAGACAGACAAAAATTCCTTAACTTCACATCTCCCAGACTTAGTGACAGAACAAGAGTTCGGAGGTAAACTGGTCTGCCTGCTCGAACGAACGAGGTAGAGGTGAGAATGGAGGGGCAAATCCGCCTAAAACACACACTATCCTTTCTTTCCCTGTGGGACGCGCTCACCTGTCTCAGCGTTGCAATCTTTCCCAACTCTGTCCTTTGCCACTGGGGCAACACTTCGGAAAAGCATCCACACTCTGAAACAGGCATGACAGGTTCAGTACGCCATGGGCAGGGGGACTCCAAATGGCAGAGTGACCGCAGCTGGTAGTCATCTGATCCCCACAACACCACGCTATGCAGGGATTTGTGGCGGACCAAACCACTGGGTTCCCCAAGCACAACTCAAACCCAGTTGAGTCATTCAGGCTCTGAGTTGTGTTTTCCAAAACCTCCAAGGTTAGGAGACATGGGACGGGAAATACAGGCCAGCTCTGTCACTGCAAACTAGTATACGCCCAGAGGTTACCAGGCTCCTCTGAAAACAATTATGCCCAGATACAAAATGAAGCCACCATCACAGAGATGAAAGACAATACATTAGAGTGCCTGACACTGACTAAAGGAAATCCCAGAGACATTAAACTTAGTTAAGTGTAAATATCCAATAGGCATAAAAAATTTAGTAACTGTAATTTTTCTGGGGTGTTTATAAATACTGCCCCAAAACTCTGATATTGAGTCTCTAAATAACATAATTCTGCAACTTGTGTTTTTCAGTCCTCACCCATACCATCAAGCATGTGGTCTTTCCCTCTGACACTTAACTCTACAATTTTTCTAACTACTCCTTTATTTTCAGACACGTAGGTCCCTTAATTCATGCAAATGAAATAAAGTGACTTAGATCTTACCTAAGAAGTCGGGAAAATACTCAAACACTCTACACAAAATTTCTACTGCCTGATGTCTGACACACTGAATGAACCTCAACTCACCAAGCCAGCATTTTCATTTCAGGAACTTCACTCTAAGAAATTAATAATGTGCTAACAAAACGTCTTCCCCCCAAGCTGTAGCTTACCATGCCTTGTTCCTTTAAATTAAGGAAAGTTTAATATTGTGGCTTAGGTATTGCCACTGACAAAAACTCCAACAGTGCATCCATGAGTGGCACTGAGTTACTAAGCGACTGTAGAGTGCCTGCTGGTCCCAAACACAGGCACAGCGAGGATCCAGCAAGGAAGAAAGAAAACCCCTGCCCTCATACAACATGTGTTCTAGGAGGGCTAAGGGCAAGTAGGTATGGTGGTATGTGGCTTTTTCTCAGCTTAAAATGCATGTGCTTGGATGTATCATAATATGGTTATGTAGACAAAAATTCTGATAAGTAGTTAACTCCAGAATTAAGTTTAACTTTGACCAAGGTGTATAATTTCTGACCAGATATTAGACAGCTGTTTTTCCTGTAGCATACTTCCATGTCTACTTCAGACCATGACTTGTGGTCTCTCAACTCCTTCCTAGCTAGTGTATGGGTTAGAATCGTCCTTAGTGAGTCTTCAACGGCCCCTATAAGCTGCCTAGTCCACTGAACCTTCTTTGTGGAATAGACTCCAAGAGAACAGTGGATATTGTCTATTTTTTAATCAAAATATTTCCACCACGGAACACAGCACCCAGTATGCTGAGCAAGCCTTAGGAATACTTACCCATCAAACAGCATTTTCACTTCTAGGCCTTTATCCTACCTAAGGAAATAACAATGTACTAGAATATTTAGCCATAAGAGGCTAGGCGTGGAACCCTGAGATCCCAGCAACTTAGAAGGCTAAGGCAGCACAATGCCTGTGAGTTCAGGGCTAGCTTATTAGGTTTCGGGATACCTTGTAAGGTCATGGTCCTAGATTACAGAGGTCCTGCCTCCTCGAGATAAAATGTTTAGCTCTAGGAGCTAGGTTTGTAATAGCAGAAAGGTTATTATTGAGTAATCATTAATGAAATGCTTGAGCTCATTCACACTGACTGAGATGCTGGTCAACTGTCTGGAACTTGGTCCAGGAAAGGAGAAATGTCGGTGCGAGTTGAAATATAAAGCAATGTTGCCATGAGCCTATGACTACTGAAATTACATCAAAAATTTTTCACCAAGTTTTTTTTAAATACTCCCCATCTAAGGAAAAGGTCATAAAGCAAATACCTTCTGCTCTATCAGTGCGTGAAGACCCAAAAGACTAGAAGGGCTTCTACAGCAAGGTGCAGCTTCCTCATCAGCACTAATCAAAAAGAACTTAATCTGTAATCCCCCCTGTCCAGAACAACAGTCACTCGCACTTGTGGCTACTGAGCCCTGAAGGTGTAGCACTATGGCTGAAAACTGACCCCGCCATTGCCTACCTGATTAACAGGGACTTGTGCAGCCTGCGGCCACAGCTCAAGCGATACAGCGCCTGCCACCCAGCACAAGGAGAACCCGAGTTTGCTCACCAGGACCTAAGTCAAGAAGTCTGGCATGGTGGCACATGCTTGTACTCCCAGCACTGCCACTGGGGAGGGAGAGCTAGGACCCTTGACGCTCACGGGCCAGATGGCCTAGTCTAGTTGACAAGTGTCAAGCCAGCAAGAGGCCTTCCCTCAAATAAACAATGTAAACTGTGCTTGAGGAGGAGTGACACCCAAGGATGCACTCTGTTTTCCACGTGCACCTAAGCGTTCATTAGCACCTGCATATACATGCACACACAAACACATAAACATGCACGTGTATGCACACGAGATAAACAGGAAGCAACTTGTAGCTAGTGGACTCCATTTTGGACAGCACAGGTAGGTGACGGAATTAGAGCTGATTTTCTTTGTACTTGAGTCTTGTTTTCTAGGTGATATTTCTGGTGGTCTGTTTGTTTGCAGCAGGCTCCTGTTACCTCAAGCTCCCCTGCTTCCAACTCCTGGCATGCTGAGATCAAAAGCACACGTCATAATACCTAGCCCTTTTCAGTGGCTTACTTATTTCTGCAATGAAGATGTACTGTTTTTGCAAAAGAAAACAGGATGCTTACTTTCATTTAAAACACTTGCTGTTGGTTCTCTTTAGAGACTGCTCTGAAAATGAAATGCAGGGTCATAAGGCAGATCCCTCGATCAGCATCAGCTTTGATTTAACCTTTAAAGGGAAAGCAAAAGCAAGCTTCGCCTCTGGTTCTGTTTTTCAGCTCTCCAATCCTTCAGCTCCATCCATACAGAAGCAGGATTTGAATGTGGATGTGTTGCCAAGATTAGGAACTCCAACACATACATATCAACTATAATGGGAGAGCCAGAGGAAGAGTTCATAAAAGTTCACAAAAGAGTTCACAAAAGAAAGCAGGGGCTGTAACATCTCTGGAACTAAAGAGAAGAAAACATTTAAAGGATCAAAAGCATTTTCTGAACTGAAGTAATCAGCAAGTAGGCTCAGCATGGACCTTCATTATTTGGAAGGGTCGGAAAACCAAGCTGGACCTTAACAAGAGCAGATGCTGGACTGACTGCAACAAAGTTCAAAAGAAGTCGGAGCGTTTACAGTAACTGTGCTAGAAGTGAGGTTTTTTATTGACTTATTATTGTAAGTTTTCAGCATACAAAGTAATCAAGTATATTTACAATTCTTACATAATGTACATTTTAGAATAACTATAAAGATAATGTACTTTGCTTCATTTACAATGACAAACTACAGTAAAACTACATTCATGAATTAGATACAAATCCTCTACATACTATTAAAAAGTAATGGAGTGTTGGTTATACATTCTTAAAATCCTTTTCAAAGGTAGCAAGAAATAGTACATGTCATCAGTCTTGATGACCGGAATGATCCAGAAATATCACAAAGCACAAGTAAACATACACATAAAAAGGAGCTTGTCAGTTCCAAAAGTTAACCTTTTGCCTTTGTGTAAAATGGTGCTAACAACCTTGATAACACAGCAAGCTTTCCCTGTTAAAAAATAATACCCAAAATAAGGCTGGGAGATGAGAAAGATCTACAAAATAAGATAGTGAGAAGACCAATGCAAAGAAAGATTGTGTTTAATTAAATCTTTCTTTGTCCACATGATCCCCCTCTATGTAAACAGAAAGAGATACCCACAAAAATCATCCTTCTAGGTGGTAGGATTCAGCCAGACTGAATCCAAGCCCTTCCTATAGTTATGTTTCGTTAGAAAACATTGAGAAGCTAACAGATGAGTTTAACTTTATAATATTTTGTTTTTATTAATGTTTGCTATTGTAAAAAAATGTAGACTTCTCTACAATGCAATGCTTTCAAATGCCGATGTGTGAGGTTCTCCAGAGTACTTGGAGCCCCTTCTCAAACACAGGGAAAGCTGCCGTTTTACGGTGATTGCACACCCTTTCATGTCACAAGTGCTTTTGAAGCATATGTCAGACATGGGTCACGGGTCAGCTCTGCAAACCAAGTGACCGTCTCTGTAAAACAAGAGGAGCAGGCTCAGGTGAAGACACAGCCATGGCTGTCGCTCATGGATGGACTAAGGTCTCAGAAGTCCTCCTGTAACATCAGGAGGGCAAAGGTCACGTGCAAGTACACTATACACCATAAAGCATACAAAAGGGAGGATTCATGGCTTTCCTTTGTTTCACCCGTTCACTTTGTGAGCAGCCCCAGGTCCAAGAAGAATATGAACTGAAGTTATTATGGACATAGGATCTTGTTTAAAAAACAAAACAAAAAACCCCCCACATTTTCTAGCCCATGCTAATGGTCAAAATGCAACCACACAAGAAGTAAATTTGAGAATGAATGATCTGAAAATGTCTAATTATTCAAAGTGGATAGCTAGTTTTAAACACAACTTGGCTTATGATCATATCTAATACACAGAAAATTTTATTTTTAAATACTGCTAACATGATCACAAACTTAAAATTCTGTAAAATGTGTGTGTAATTTTTTTTTTTTCCTAAAATGCTTTGACATACTAAAGTACAAGTTGAAAGCTGGATTACTTTGGGCGAAGTAATTACCAAAGATCATTGAATTACAGCAAACAGCAGCGTCAATTAATTAGGCACATTGTAATGCTGGAAACTTTTTAATTTCCAAGGGCTGCACTAAATTAAATTTGAAACCTTGGGAATCTTAAACATGTGTCGCGTGAAGCCTGGGGAACGGCTGCTTGGTTACCTTTGTCTATGTCCGTATTAAAGCTGTATTTCATGAATCCCTCCCGGCGCCTCTATTCTTATTTTGGCAGTAATCCAAATTTTACATTAATGAGAGGATGAAAAAGAGCTAACAGACTAATAACAAAGAATCAAACTACTATCAGCATGTGTGTCCTGGAGAGAAAACAGAGCAATCAGAACATTGCATATGCTCATCTCTCCTAGTGCATGGAATACTTCATAACATGCCACAGAAAGTGATTTGTGAACACAGCAGAACTCATGAAGAGCCAACCTGCTTTACAACTACTAACTTAAACCCTTGCTACACTCCACTCCTTTCTGCAATTCAATTTGTCAGCCCGTTAAGAAAATTAAGTCACAGAAATATAGTCTTGTATTGCTAGCCTCCGTGCAATGCTAAAAGATGTAGCTTTTTTTTTTCTTTAAAGATATTCAGAACAACAATCATCTTTAAGGCATTTCAAATGCACTTGAATCTTTAAGGCTTTAAAAAAAATGCTCTAGCCGTTAAAGGGCAGCAGACACTACCGACTGCCACACCAGGAACTTCTGACATGAACCAGGGCGGCAAGCAGGTCTGGAAGAACGGCCCCCCCCAGCAGCTGAACCAAAGGGAGCCGCATCTGCACCTTCACAGACAAGGCAGGGGCTCCAGGGGTGGCCAAGAACGAGCACAGGGAGGAAAGGCGGGCTCCCTTCCCTATCTTCCCTTCTTTAGCCTATCTCTCTTCCTTGAACATATTTTAGGACAGTGAGTTTCAAAACACACCAACTAAAATATTATGAATTAGACTTCTGCCTTTAACAAAATACCTGTAAGTCCAGATGATCTGCAAGTCTGAAGTGAGAAGGAAAGACAAAATCCTTTTGACCTGGGGGGGTGTGAACTTCCTCAGGGACAGATCACAGTGGATCCTTATCCTTAATGTGTGGTGACCTACTAAATATGCATTACATGCTTGCAACTTGGCTAAACTACAGAGCCTTATCAGTGTTGCCAATTTATTCCAATATAATTTCTCCTTAGACTCTGGTTTTATATTTAATCAAACTAAGGCTCTACATACTATAGGGAAAATGTTAAAATTTTTATTTAACTATAACTTTATATATATTTTTAAATGTTTCTGTGAAGCTGAGTATCATGCTACTTACAAATAATTTCTAAAAGAATTAATGTAATCAACGGTGCTGGACATGAACTAAAAGGCAACTACTCATTTACGACATACTTTGACAAGACACATCAGTCAGAGGTGAAATTGGACCAAACTGTATCACATGTTCATAATTTTGGAACTCAGAGGTCAATGACATTTTACTTAATTCTAAAGCTATATACAAGATACAATTTAAAAGAACGTATACTGTTGTATAGTACACAAGATAAATGTAGAAAAAATAAAAGGACTTTATTGCTGGTAAATTTTAGTATAAACAGAAAAAAAGTTTTCTCTTCCTTTACATGGAGGTTTTTCTTTCACCAGGAGAAACAGTAAAAAATATATTATCTTAAAATGGACAAGTCCCAAATATAAAAACGCCCTACATTATATTTGAAATCACTGTTTTGATGAAAGCCCAATTTTACAATATTCAACTTCTAAAGCCCATTTGTGTCACACTGATGATCTGTCAAGGTTTTAGGAAATCAGCCCAACAATAAAAACTGAGCTACGATTCCTCTGGTGATTGAAGAAAGAAGAAGAGCGTCTTTGCACCGTAAGATGAAATAAATCTGAAGACTGACGTGTGGTCCACCCAGACGGCAGCAGTGCCTGCTGGAGTACTGAAGGGCAATGGCACCTCTGAGAGAATGAGGGGCACCCTCTCTAGTCCTAGTGATTGCACCCAGGGTCGTGGGCACCACAGCTACGCTACCGGAAAGCACACACGTATTTCTGAACCACCCACCGACAATAATCGAGGCAGTCACGGAAGAGACACACCCTCCAACCAGGTAAGGTAACTGGCCCCCACGTGACACAGACACAGGCACTGAATGCTCTCGGGGGACCAGTATACCACCCACGGCAAAGGATACAGGGGTCTAACAGTGGAGCATTCCAGAACTTAGAGATGGCTGAGATCTGGAAACGGCTTTACATAAAAGCACAATCCACTAAAAAGACTTTTTTTTTTTTTCTTAAATAAAAGAGGAACTATAGTGGATTTCCCAAATATGAGGGAACTGTTTTCATTTACAAAAATACCAATGAATGGGTACCATTTTTTCCAAATAATTCAATGTCAACCAAAATTAAGTAAGTAGAATTAAAGCAGTAAAAAAAAAAAAAAAAAAGTATGAGTTTTTGGTTGTACACACTGGGAATTCACCAAATTTCATAATTTCCCCCTTTTTAAAAGGCTCAGAACTTCTGTGAATCTTGTTGGAAACGATTGAGTTTCTCTGGATTATTGGATGCCATTTGAGAAAAATCACGAAAAATGTCCTGGTAAGTTTCATCACCTGCATGAAAGTAAAATAAAGACACTTAAAATTTATACGCTTCAGGTATAAATAAAACAACATTCATTTTTATTCATACTACATTAGGATTCATGACATTACAAAACTTTGTTGTAATAGCATTTTGGAAGGAAAAAGACCAGATAAAAATAATGCCAGAAGAGTACATAAGAAAGGGAAGCTCTACCTGAGAGGAGGGCCTCAGCTGCACCGCAGAAGGAGGCTCAGAGTTAGAGAGGAGCAAGATGCAAGCGTTTGAAAGCAATGTGAAGAAACACGTTCATTAGCACACGAAAGAAAAGGGTTTTTTAAATGAATTAAACAGCACATTTTTTAAGAAAATACTTTCTTTGATAAAAGTTAAAAGAAATGACTGAAGCCAGATACTAGTGAAGGTTCTGATGGACACATGTTACGATGGCGCCAGGCTAGCTGTCAGGCAGAAAATAACCTCCTCCTATGCTCTCATTAACAAGGAGCACTTTACACTGAAATAGCTGTTTGTAAAAAGTAGTTCACGCACACTTTGCGCTTTAGAACTAATGTATCTGATCCACTGTTCACTAAACTCATTGGCTACAGCATCAGAAAAACATTGAGGGGGCCAGATAAAAATCTAGTAAAAAGACCTAAAAACATAATGCAAGATTTTTCATAAAAAGATTTTAGTACTCTTAATATTTAGCTTATGTGAAACGCAATTTGTTAAAATGCTGGACATTTGATGATGACATGAAATAGTCAGCTGACCCTAATCAATCTACTTTAGAAGGTAAAGTACAGTGAGAATAGACTCTAACAGGCTGGCTGGAGACCAGCGCTGACTCAGCCCATTAGGACTGAAGCAGACTAAAGGCTAACCCAGAAAACTAGTCAAACTGTCCAATGATAATGCACGGCAAACTATAACCTATTCCTGTGCTTGGCCATCCTACAGAACGTAAAGCAAACTGAGAAGAGTGCAACATTAAATAACAATTAGCAAACCATACAAAATATTTTAATTTTTTTACTTTTTTTAGATGTTGAATTAAAATATGTAAAATATTTATTGTAAACATTATAAATATTTTTAAAATACTATTCAGATAGTCTAGAATTTTACTTTCCAAGAAAGTGTAAAGTGCAGATTATAATACAAAAATACCACACTGATTTTACCATTCAACACCAGAAGTAACGTAAAAGGCACACATTATATATTCAGGAAGGAAAGGGAAAAGGATCTAGCAGATGCTAACGCCAAGTCATTCACAAATAGCACCAGATGAGCGTTCTCAAGTATTACAACAGTACAGTGGCGATATATGGCTTCTACATTCAGCAATGCATATTCTGTGTAAAAAGCTGTTTTTCTTTATGATTTTCTAGTGTTTGATTTTAAATCACCCAGTACATATTATACAAGTACATTTTTAGTAAGAACCATTGTACCATGCAAAAGTAATTAGAAGACCTTTCATTCGCTGAATTAAACGCGTCCTTGAATAGAGTGTTGGTGCTGTAATTATCATTGGTTTCACAGACTGCAAACATTTAAGAGTTCATACAATACAAAAGGAAGTTTCTAGCTTCACACACAAAACTCATTAAATTCAGGTTTTTGTTAATTAATAATGCACTATTAGTATGCTACCTTCCTTAGACCTCAAAATGTTTTGTCAAAAGCAACAACAGTGATTTACTTAAATAGCCAACACAAAGTGAACTTCATTACCTAAACTTTAAGGAGAATTTTAATCACTTGAAGATTTTCCCAAGGCAAATCTAATTTGTCTGAACTACAACACATAAACAAGATTCCGGGATACACTGTCCTGGAATTTTCCTATTAATACACTGAACACCTTACTACAAAAAACAGCTACGCATAGTCTTTAAATTCCTTAACCAAGTTTTTTCCCCCCATTCAGAAAGTTCAAGTTTTTTATGCACCTGAACAACTCTGAATGTTTAAAATATATACTTCTAGGTTTCCGCTGACAGCTTAAATTCACTTTTAGTTTTTGGTATTCAGAATATGACATCACAACACAGTTACCGTGGCTGAGAGAGGTCAATGACCTCATCATGGAAATGAATGTTCTCCAAAGGATGTGATAACCACCCGCTATGACATCAGGCATCGTCTGCCCCTTCTAGCTGGGAGGATTTTCCTTCCACAAACGATTGGATAGTTCCCAGAAGCTATATACTTACATGACCTGAAGTGGCTCCTTAGTGCAGTGATTCCCACTGCCTGAGAACCTGCCGACCCTCCAGAGACCCAGGACCAGCAATGGGAATCTCCTAACCGGCTCCCCACCATTGAGAGCAAGGTGTGGTACCCTCACCAGCCAGGCCACCTAAGAATTCTGAGGCTGCGGAAAGAGAGCCCACCTTCCCTTTAGAAGCTGCATGCTCTTAATTCTGCCTTGCAAGGCAAATGGGAGCCCACAGGGTTTAGAAATGGGGTTTCCTAGAAATAAGTATGTGATTGCCAAGCATTATAACGGGGTCCTTTAAATAGTAGGCCTGTCACCATCAAAAGACTGACAACTTCTGTACCTACGAACTGCCCAGAGTTCTGATGCTTCTCTTCTATGGCTAGGACACCAATGAAGCAGTTCGGCACAGACTGCCGGGAAAATGCAGTGAGATGCAGAGACACAAGGAAGAGCTGCTTTGGGAGCCAAGACGCAGGAGGGGAAAGAGGAGCCACAGAGCGCGGCCCCCGCACCTCCTCACCACACTGCCTGGCCTGCAGAGGATCTCCTTTACACACTTGCCCCCAAACTGAGATTAAAACCTAGTTATTTTCAAGGTATTTCAAACAGGTTTGTTTTTTTTTTGTTTGTTTTTTGTTTTTTGTTTTTTTTTTTTTTAATCTTATTTTAAACCTGGCATCGCTGGCAGAATTTTAAATTTTAACTTCTAAACTAAAATTTGAAGATGGTTCAAAAAATGTTTTACAGTGAGGCCTGTTTTCATTAAAATCGAGGAAAAAATTCTTTTCTTACTGACACCTGTAAGTTCCTATGCCCACATACAAACCTGCACACACAACAGTGAGAGGGGCATCTCGTCACTCCTGGAGCACAGAAGAACTTCAAGCAGGACCAGAAGTGGAGCAAACAGAGAGGCCCTGCCCTTGCAAATTCCCAACCACAGAGCAAGAGGACCGCTGACCTCTGACCTCTAACTCAACAGCTGGGCAGGCATCATGGCAGGCACCTTAAGGAAGGTGCAGCTGACTCAACGTGTGCCTTCACCATTTCAGGAAACTACAAACGTAACAACTTACAGCCTTGAAGTTCACTGCTACCTCACAAGCGTCAGCTCATATTCTTTGATCAATTTCTATTTAAAGTGCTTAAACACAGGGCCTCCGCAGTGGCCCTGTAATACTATGATTTAAAGGGATCTGTTACAAAATTAGAACTTTTTAAAGAGCTAACATCCAACTCTGAGACAAACAGGTGAAAGTCAGAGCTAACGCTGAGTCTCACCTCAGAACACCCTGACCTGGCGGTGCGCATACGCCACAGGATTAAAGCGACACACCCTAGATTAGGAGTACCTATCTGAGCTAGGTTCTTTCTTCATCCTTCTTACATCAGGCCAAAAATAAGTAATTAATACAGTCCTCTGAGAAAAAAATAACCTCACACTGTAGTCAAAATTTAAAACGTGGCTGAAGGTAACATAAAGCACAAAATTTTCAAAATATACTTCAACAAGATGATATCACCAGGCCACTTTAAAAATAATAATATAACTATTCATTTTTATAAAACACATCTTCTCATTGCAAAGCGAAAGTCTGTCTATAAGTAATTTGGGTGTGAGTCCCTGAAATGGCTAGTAATATGTGTATGAATTCAAAGCAGATTAGTAATTCATACATTCAAGACTCGTGAACTAGAATGTGATGTCCTTCCTTGTGAAGATGGCTCACCAGCGTGCGTCCATCAAACAGAAGAGCTTGACCAGCCTCTCTTCCTTTCTTCACACCAGGACTCACAGGTGAAGATCAGTCAAGGTAAAGACTGAGGTGACCACGAATTGAGATTTTTCTAAGAAGTATACTTCGCCATCAGGTTCACAAAACACTGTTCTGACTACATCTACTCACCCCAGCAAATAGTGTACATTTGCCTGGGGCAAAGCTAGTGATAAATTTCAGCCTCTGAAACTACACCCACTGTGGACTTTTAACTTATTGGCAATTTTTTAACTTTAAATCTTCGACTCAGAATACAAAACTTATCAATAAACTTTTTCTCGATATTTTTCCATACTAACTTTTTTATATACAAAACACATGGTGATTTGTTTTTGTTCCCTGAACACAATGTATAGAAATTCCCTGAATAACCAAAAGAAAAGCATTTTGTTCTATTCACTGGACAGCTAACGAGACTCCTTTGGAAGCTGCTCCCTGCTGCTGCAGCACGCTAGCGTTCGTCAGGGCACTCTCGCCGGAATGCACGTGGAAGACATCTGTACAGCAGACGAGGGTGTCAGCAGCCAGAGCTCACTGAATACGCTAAGTACGAGTGTGCTGAAATAGGAACAGGTCCGAGTGTGCAGAGGCCCAGGATTGGCCACCCAAGAATTCAGGAAGTACAGTACAGAAGCTAACAGCTCACAATTTACAAGGACATTATAAAGTCTCTGTAATATCTCATCAATCAGCTAAGGAACTATGAATCTTCCAATTGTAAACTGATAAATTCCTGAATGCATTTTTTATACTGCATTTCAGTATGATTATTAGTAGAATATTGACCTGGCTGTCCATAAAGTCCTTCTGATTCCCGCATTTCTTCGTTCATTCTTGCTAAGCGTAACCTAAAATTAAAGAAGAAGAAGAGGTCTTAGAGGAAGTAACACAACACTCACACACAAATGAGCCACATAAGCAGTTAGGGCATCTGCAGGGAGAATCGGTTCTTTACAGTGTCTGCTAAGTAAAAGACTCATTTTGTCAAACCGGCAACGTGCAGTACCAAATAACTGCATCTCACCTCCATTCCCATGACCCTCACAAGCAAAGAGCGAATGATTTCTTATTGAAGCAGGATGCCTACAACACTTTCAGGCTGCTTCCTCCAGGCCTCAGAGAATTCCCGGCTCCTACAGCAACCTGATAAAATTATTGCTTCTACAGTAGGGAGGCAGTGGCAGGTCACTGTCCATTGGCTTACCCCAAGTGAGACAGTTCTCAACACACAACCAACATGTTCCTTCTAAAAAACGGAAAACATATTTTGATACACAAGCGCCGTGGTAAATGACTAGGGGTTGCCAAGATTTCCCCAGGTTTACTAAACCCTACTGGTCATACACACTTTGGGGTTAATCATCCTGGCAATTGAAGACAGGTAACATCAGATTAAAAAAAAAGAAAACAAGTACTTCTTTTGCTGAAAACAAAAAATAAACAATATAGAAAGTATTCTCTGTCGTGCCTGCTTATACTTCTAGGCCACGACACTGTCTGCAGCCTTCCCAAGGCTCTAGCTCTGTCCTCTGAGAGTGCCATCTGGAAATGACAGCATCTGAGAGGGACATTTCTTTAAACCTCCCTATTAACATGTAAATTAAGGATGGCTCCTAAGCATTCCTTTGCTATGTGGAGTCTGAAAGGATTCTCTCCTAGCTGAGTTTAGCTGTCAACTTGATATGGGCCAGAGTTATCTGGGGGAATCTCAAATTCGGGGTGTCTGGAACAGACTGGCCTGTGGGCCCGTTTGTAGGGCATGTCTTGGTTGCTAATTGAGGTAGGAAGCAATGACCCTTCACGGTAACAGTGACTCCTCCACGGTCTGAGTCTTTCTGGAGAGAGGGGAAGGGGTGGAACAGTGCAAGCTGAAATTCCTCAGTGGAAGTTCAGGGGTTAAAGCAGCCACAGAGGATCTCTGAACTGAGAGCACCACCAACAGTCATGTTTCTACTCAAGAGGAGAAGGATCATCAGGTCTCAGCTTCCTTTAGCCCAGAATGATGACATGACTTAAAACCTGCTTCCATTAGAGTCATGAAATCAAGTACAGTTGACATTATCACATTTCTAGGTTCTAAGTGTAGCATACTACTTTGATCTGACATGCAAACCAACTGAAAACCTGCAGTCTCTTTATTACAACACAGTAAACATAACTCAAACATTCAAAAACATGTATTTTGTATTAAAAATAATCAAGTGTTCATGGGAACAATTCTTTTAAAGTCTGCTGTCCCTCCAGCTTGATAAGCCCCTAATCCTCAAAGCAGTAGAATCAACTGCTTGGTTCTCCCATTCCCCCAGCCCAGCCCAGTCTCGGAGTGTTCCAAAAGGAGAAGAGAGTGTCTGAGGTGATCACAGCTCTGGTTTCTATTGCTCTGGCAGCACAGAAGTGGCTGAGCCCAGACATCAGGGCAGAAATTCTCAGTGTCAAGTCCTAGCTCTAACATTTATGAATTCCTCAAATTATCTGAGTCTTAGCTTCCCTAAAGTGAGGATAGTAAGAACAACCCCCTCATGGAGCTATTGTGAGGAACAGGTGAACCCATGCACTTCAAAGTGCTTGCCACATCCAGTGTGCCACAGGAACGGCACAGACAAGAGGCTGAGTTTAAAGCTCCCACTGAGCTTGGTGTGATGGTGCATGCCCAACACTTGAGAGGCAGAGGCAGGAGGATCTCAAGACCAGCCTGGTCTACATAGACCAGCTCCAAGACAGCCATGGCTATTTGTACAAGCAACATGTACTACGGAAATTAAGTACAAAGGAGACACTTACAGGGTGACTATGTCTGCATTGGCTGCTTCCACGGCTATACTCAAAGGGTCCTTCCCCTCTTCATCAGTGGCATGTTGATTGGCACCTCGCTTTAGGAATAAACATACCTGCCTGTTTAAAAGAACAGCATTTCTCAGGCAGTATGAAGACAAAAAAAAAAACAAGCAAACATCCACTTCACCTTCAAAAAATACAAAGTTCTACCTAACCTAAATAACATTGTATTAGAAAATTCTTAATGTATCCTACAACAGTCAATGAACAGACTTCAATAATAAAAGTTGACTGAGATCTTTACAAGCCCCAAATATACTGGTTAGTTATAACTGTACATTAGCTATGCTGGTTAGTTAGATCTGTATACTATACTGGTTATCTGTATAATAGCTATACTGGTTAGTTATATCTGTACACTAACTATACTAGTTAGTTATTATTGTCAACTTGACACAAACTAGAGTCTCCTGGAAAGAGGAAACCCTCGTTGAAAAGTTGCCTCAGGCAGAATGGCCTAAGGGAACTATGGCTATGAGGAACTGTCTTGATTGTTGGCTGATGTGGAAGAGCCTAGCCCAAAGTGACACTATCCATAGGCAGGCAGGCCTGGGCTGCATGAGAGCTGAAGATGTGTAGCTTATCAATTAGGAGCACATGTTGTTCTTGCACAGGACCTGAGTTCAATTCCCAGCACCTACCTTGTTGGGCAGCTTACATCCATCTGTAACTCCAGCTTCAGGGGACCTGACACCTCTGGCCTGCTCAGATATTGCACTCATGTACATACCCCCACACAGACATACACACACAACTTAAAAAATAAAAATCTTTACAATAAAAATTTTAAAAAGCAAACTGATTGGGCCAGTAAGCCACATTCCTCTGTGGTCTCTGCTTCAGTTCCTTCCCTGATTTCCCTCCATGACATGGACGTATAAGCCAACGTTACTTGTGATCATGCTGTTTGCCACAACTACAGAAAGCAAGCTACAACACTGATCATAGTCTTTCTTCTGGATGAGAACCTTTGACTTTCAGGTTCCACCATGATGCAAAATTCTATATAACCACCTTAACCTGAGAAAAAAAAAAAACAGGATTTCCAGCTTTTCAAGATAAAAGCTACCTACATACTTAAGCACTGTTACCTACCCTGTGTGTCCTAAGACGGTGGCATGGTGCAGTGGTCCCCGCCCTTGGACATCTCTTTGGTTCACATTAGCACCATTCTGTAAGAGGAACTCGCATGTCACCAAAGAGCCCTTAAAGAGAAGAAGATGGCAATGTATAAATGCAAAGGAGAAAGAGCACATCTGTATGTATATAGCAGATAAATAAGTTATATTTGTTTCTTCCAAGAACTAACTAATATAAAATTGTTTACAGTTTGAAGTCCAGCAAAACACACTACTCCCCTTGCATTATCAGAATTCTCTTCCAGCTGCCCCTCCCCCAAATCAGAAATTACTAGTGAGAGAATTCTTTACTTTCTAACCCCACTTAGAATAGTGACAGTAACGATGCTTTGTTTAAATTTTATGATATTTTCTAGTTTACCAGATCCATGAAAACCTCAATGCATTTATTTGAACCCCTAATCCAGCCTGAATGCATTAAGTTGTACCCCTAAGATATCCTGAATGCATTAACTTACCCCCCTAATCCAGCCTGAATGCATTAACTTACACCCCTAATCCAGCCTGAATGCATTAAATTGTACCCCTAAGATAGCCCGAATGCAGTAAGTCACCCCCCAGCACAGCCTGAATGCATTAATTCATACCCCTAATACAGCCTGAATGAGTGGTGTTGCTTGGTGTTCGTCTGAATTAGCCCAGTTCACATCTGCACCATGAGCCAAAGCCTCAGCCATTTTGGGAAGGTTTTTTTCATATGAAGCCCTATAAAGCTGAAGTCCTGGATTAAGATGTTTAGAGTCAAGAAACACAGATTCTTGCCTTTCTCCTTCTGGAAAGCAAAGCACAAACATATTTAATAAGAATGTGCCCTGAGCACAGAAGGCAAATTGTTTAATAAGTACAGAAAGAGTCTGCAAGAAGAAAGAGTTCTGTTGGGTAAATGACAGTAACAGTAGAACAGCAATGTGAAGAGGAACTTGAGCTAGTAAGCTGTAAACTCAGAAATGGTTAGGAGAGATAACTCAGGGCAGATAAATGGCTGGGATACCTTCATAGTCCATATTTTACCTCAGTTTTCAAAATGAACTCTTAAACTCACAATGTAAGCACTGTGACATAAGAAACCATTCATCTACCCAGTGAGCGTATGAGAGATTCACACACAGATGTCATTATTTCTTAGAGACTCATCATTCTCCCAACCTCTTAGCCTGCTCATGGAAAGGCATCAACAGGTATTCTAGGCTTCTGCGGTCTGCCAGTATCCAGGGAATGTTAGTTACGGTTAAACAAAAAGCCTGGGCTCCTAAACAATTTACAACCACATAAGTTCAAATCTTAACTTGGTTCTTGGGGTGAGGTAACACCATCACAATTTACTCATTTTTAACTGATTCAAATGCTCTGAAGAATGCTTATTCCCCAGAGACTTCTCCAAAACTAAACACACCGAAGTCCTGAAAGGAAGCATAAAGGGCCTACTGATGAGAGACAAACCCAAAGAGGGAGCCGTTGGTACAAGAGCAGTCACAGGAGGAGACAAGGACTAAGCGGACATGATTAAAGTTCTCAGCACACGCCACAAGGTTTGCATGAATGTCTAACTAGAGGAAGGACTCCAAAAACCAAGAGAAACAACCACTTTCTCCTTAAACAGTATTGTTCTCCTCTGAGAACCTTCTAGCAAGATTAGCCAGCTAATCTTGAGAAACAGTCCAATCAACATTGAGAGCAGCGGAGAGGCAGCCCCTGCCAGACAAGCCTAAGGAAGCCCAGGTCCCCAGAGGCCAGGTAAGAAGCCAGCACAGAGGCTAGCCACCTGCAGCTTCATGCTGGGGAGGCAAAGACAGACGATACATGGAGCTCGCCGCCATCACTGAGCTCCACATTCAGTCAGAGAGCCTGTCCCACAGAGGCAGAGAACACATGGAACTAGAAAATATATTGAGGTGAGAAAACCCAAACTTGGAAAGGCACATGCCCCACCTTCTCTGCTGTAGGCAGATCTCAGCCCCTAACTGTTTGTGTAGGAGCATCTACATGAGACAGAGAAGATGCCAGAAAATCCAAGAGTGGTCTGAGACAGGGGAAAACAAACAAACACTCTCAGCAGTAAAATTGCTCTATAATTAAATAAAAGTAAATGTAACACTCTATTTAAATTCTAAAGCCACAATTGATTGGACTTGAAACTGAACATACATGAGAAATTTCACTACATTTAAATTTTTTTATTTTGGGTGTGGGTGGGTGCGAGGGTGGAGGGCATCGGACAGCTTTTGGGAGTCAGTTCTCACCTTCCACCACTGAGGTCTCCAGCTTGAGGACAGGTGGTAAGGGTTGGCAGAGTGTGCCTCTGCCTGCTGAGGCGTCTCACCAGCACATTTTTAGGTATTTGAGAAACTCTTAATCCCCGCTTTGTTCTATTAGGAACTGCTGGGAAATATAATTTCAGATGCATGTCCTCTTATACTTAGTAATGCTGCAGAAAATGTGGTATTCTGGGTTTTGACGCTTCTACACATTTAACTACTTCCACTGAGTTTGATTCTCATGCTGCCCCTGATGCCACTAACGGTTCAGTAATTCCCATTAAGCAGATTTAGATCTGCTAGTAAAAGTTTGGGAAAAGACAATTAAAAATACAAGAGAAATGAACAAATGGTAAATATAATGGCACAGTTATTTCTGGAGTAAGTATACTGAACAAAAGAAAAAAATTATGTTCTGAATGATCCCATTGCTCTAAACTAGAAAGATGTCATCTTCTGCTATTATGACAAAACGCAGAATGGCGTTTAGGGACTGAGATTGTAATGGGATGGGATAGGCCAGTTACAGAGGCAAGCAACTATGGTAATGGAAACACCAGCATTTCCATGGGCATACACACGGCCAGTGTGTGCTAATGCATCATGTTCTAATGCTTCAATTATACTCCTTTCCCTCCCCAACAGGAAGGTGGGGAGAAACTGGGAAAGACACCAGATGTTAACCTCTAGCCCTCATGTGAGCACACATGCAAACATGCCCACGAAAGAACTGACATTTGCCACACACACTTCTCAATAAACCATACCGGTCAACAGGGACTCCATCAGAACTTACCAGGCTCGTATAAGCTGTTGGCTGACACCGTGGAAGGTAAAGATTCTCGGCCATCATCAGATCCTTGCTGGATCCCACTGTCATTACTTTTGACTGTATTAAAGGGAAAAAAGGGGGGGGGGGGAAGGCTAGTGATTAACATTCACATCACTGCGAAAGCAGTCCCCCACAATCAACAAGTTATAAAATGAGCTGGTACATGGAAACATGAACTCGGCCACCACCAGCATAGCACACTTATGCCATCTTAAGCCTTTTGTAATTCAGCTTCTGGGAACATAAGTCAATCACAAAGCCAGAAAATACACTTATTTTCAGAGTTCTAACCTATCTCATTACCCCACAAGTGCTGGGAGGCGTGAAGAGCTTAATTTACTGAATGACTGTGGTGATGTGTAACCCGGAGACAATGGGCAACATCCAGAGAAATGGCCACACCGCACAATGACCACTGGCACAGACTGGGGATGCTCCACAACAGTACTTACTACTACGCAGTTTTGAAGAAGTATCAAAGTAGGAGAAGAGTGAATCTAGCTCATCAGGACAGAACAGAGACTCCCGCCTGGCCTCGTCGCTATTGACAGCAGCCACTGGGGACATGCAAGTTAGCAAAGCACAAAGCAGGCCGTAAGAAGTGGGGGCAGGGAAAACCGTTACTGGGGAAGTGTGGGGAGAACATAGGCAGGAGACTGGTGGCTACCCAGATACCCAGGGGTTTCAGCATAATCTATTTATAATCCCATCTCCCCTTGCTATTAAGCAGTTGTACTCTGCAGAGTACAGACTGTACCTAGGAATGTGAACCACTGGACAAGCTCAGGTTAACAGTCTCAACGACACAGAAATCCAGTTTTCTCTTAGAATGTGTAGAAGGAAACAGGCTTCTAACATTTAAAAACAAAAACAAAAACAAAACCCTACAATGGCCATAATTGTGAGATTAAAAAGGTGGCTTCAGCTCATGAAAATATCTGAGGTAAAATACCTGAGGTGTGGACAGACAGTCTGCTGTGGCTCAGCCTCTGCTCCTCACAGCTTTTGGAGATGATTCTTTTCTCCTGCTCAAAAGGGGAGGACAACGTAGAGTCCTTATCCACAAATTTCCTCTCCACATACTTCGCTCTGATATATGCCTCTTTCTCCTGTCTGGGAAACAGGAAAATGCCATCATGTTCTACTTAGCCCCTTAGCATGGTGAACACTGAATGGATGCCACTAGATACTGAATCCAATGGTGGTTAAAAGTGACCGGGGGGGGGGGGGGGGGGACGATACCAACAAGACGCCGCAGTTTAGAGTGCTCTCCCAGAGAACCTGAGCTTGGTTCCCACTCACATCACAACCACCTGTAACTCCAGGGACTCTGACAGCCTCTTCTAAAAACTTTGCTAAGTGAATCTGTAACAGCTAACAAACATTATACAACATGTTTTCCCTCCAAATACAAGCTAATTTCAGTCAGATGAATTACTAGTAACCTGAGCAATCACTACTGATGACCAAAATTTTTCATATAATAACTACAATAAAACAAAACAGTGTTCCAGATTTAGAGTGTGGAAAATGTCATTTTTCTCTTATTACATAACCATAAAATATGCCTGTTCTAGCCAGACTGTAGTGACATACACTCACCACTCGGGAGGCAGAGGCAGGAGAATCTCTTAGAGTTTAAGGCCAGCTTGATCTACAGAGAGAGTTCAGGACAGCACACACAGAGAAACCCTGTCTTAAAAACAGACAAACAAAACCCAACACACACACACACACACACACACACCTGTTCCGTATTTTTTCTTGTTTTATTTTAAAATGTTTAGGTCTCTGGCTAAAATAGGAAAGTCTAGGGTCTAATAAATCTGTCCTATAACAAATATTAAAAGTGGTTTAAATTACAGTGGCTTAGCTCAAATTTCAACGTAGGATTATGGCCAATGCAATCCTAATGCTAAAAGTAAAGAATCCTACACACTAAACATAGTGTCAACCACAAAGACTAAGTGTTCCGAAGGCCCTGATTCGAGCAGAGTGGCTTCCCTCAGCAGACTTCTGTCTAGTTTTGCACTCACGCTGTCTTTTCTGTCTTTGATCCGGAAGCCGCACAGAGCCGCCCGTCAAGTGTGTGATGAACACTTGCTGAGTAAGTCAGCTCATGCACCAGGACTGGTAGTAAACAGCAGAGCTTTGAGACATCAATGAACAGATCACGTGTGGGGCTATGTGTGCATGTTTGTGTATGCACTTGTGTGTGCTGGTATGCACACAGGCACATGGAACTCTCAGAGGTCAACAACAATGGCATATTCCAGAGGTCAACAGCAGGTGTCTTCTTCAATCCCTCCCCCGCATTTTCTGAGCCGTATTTCTTTCACTGGGCTGGAATTTACTAATCTGCCGAGATTAGCTGGCCAGCCAGCTCCAGGGATCCTACATGTCTGCCTCCCCAGCAACGGGCTACAGACAAGCACTGCCATGCCTTGCTAAGGAACCAAACTAATGCCCACCAGAACTTTGGACCACTTTAGTGGCAAAAAGCTTTTACATGCCTATGTAGAAAAAAAGTAAATTTTTTTAATGATTCTTCTCAGCTAAAGACTACAAATGACTGACTTTCCAGTACAGTATATAGCTCTAATGAGTACACCTACAGTTCAATGTATAGATTTAAGGGGTACACTGGGGATGGACACAGGTACATTTAAGCAGAAGTAATAGCAATGACTTCTAAACACTCCATCACAATGTTTTATGACAATGGTAGTAAAATAAAGTCACAACTGTATTTCTGATTAGGGAAGAAAGTAGCACATTAAGATAATCATACCTTTGTCCTGGCTGTGGTTTCTTTATTCCCATTTTATCCAGTTTAGCTTCATAAACACGATTTATAACATCATTCCCCAATTCACACATAAGCTATGTGGCAGGAAAATAAAAATGTAAGCTAAAAATTAAAAGTCCTAAAAATAAGATAAACTTTAAAAAGTCCTTAAGTGGGTACGATTAAGTAATTCATCTTTACAGACTTCAATTATATATTTCACAAAGAAATTTTAAAGTTAAAATGAGCCAAAGGCTGAGAATATTTTCCATTTACCATTCTTTATGAGAATATTATCACTCCTATAACAGGTACCTAAGAGATATACTATCATCCGTCCGTCCATCCATCCATCCATCCATCCATCCATCCATCCATCCATCCATCCA